GCGCGTAGCCGGGAAGTATCAATCACCCGTACGCTTCCAGTAGTACACAAGGCAAATCAAACAAAACCCATCCTCCTCAACCGTCTCCTCCTTAGCCTTCGCCTTATGATACTAATATTAGGCGTCTTACAACTTCCTCCACCTCGACCATTGACAACGAACAAAGCTATCAATTTCTGATTGCAGCTTTCAACGTCTGAACCATATGCCAAGTCGGACAGCAGGCATCGCTCTCCAGAACTCTAAATTCTTGACCCATAGATGTATATTGTATTTCTGAAACACATACACAGGACCCGAGTATAGTTATTCAATTGAACTCACCTGGTCATTGTAGTAAATCTTCAAGATTCACTCTTCAAAGAATCCGGAGACCAAATGGTTAACTGCAGTGGACTTGTCGTGTAGGCATAGCATTGAGTTGCAGAGCAGAAAGCGCACTTCACGAATGGATACCAGTCAACATTCATTTGTGTGCTGCTAAAGTGAATGAATTTGTGAAACTAGGAAGGATCAGGAGACAAGTCGATGCCTGTTGATCTCCGTCTACACACCCACCGCCCGACCCCAATTCGGATGATGAAAAGGATAAGTTCTATCAGAAGCTGTCAGTTTTGTTACAGAAAGTAAAACGTTCAGATATAGCTATAAGAGCAGGTGACTTTAACGCTCATGTTAGGAAGCTGAGCTAGTCGGGAAGCATCTTGAGGGTACTTACAGAATCCTGTGCCAACGAACCAACAACGCTGATCATGTCTAGAAATTTTGTTCCGACAATCACTTGTTTGTGGTCAGCACTAACTCCGAGCATTAGGAGAGACGCTGTCTCAGGTGGTCTCTACCGACTTTAAACCAACAATGGACCCAATTAGGTGATATTGCTATAAACCATCGCTAATGATGATTGTTGGGGATTGGCGCCCTTTCTGGAGTGTAGCAGCTTGAACTCTTATCACGAACTTGTGTATATCTGCACCTTACTGGTCGCAGAAAACTGACGGTAGTGAAGCCTGTCTGTGCTTGACTAAATGATGAGAACATCAAGTACGATTTTAGGGAGGAGATAATAAAACATTTATCTGAACACGATAGCAATGCTCATCCTGAGGAAACATGGTAGGATATTAAGTTTTCTGTAGAAACAAGGGCAAAGACAGTCGGTAACCTATAGCCAAAAGTCATCAGAAGCTAGGAGATTTTCGCAACGTCATCTGAACTAGTTGATGCGAGATTGTTTCGACTAGGCTCTAGCTATAATGAGGAGCAAAATCAACTTAAACGCAACTTGACTAAGAATCCTCGCAAAGATCACGAGCTATGGTGGGTGGCGAAAAAGAGAAAGCCTCAACTTTCTCGCTAATTATTCACGCTTATTAAGGACACTAGCAAGAACATGATGGTAAGTGACTGTCACCAAAAAGGATGGGACTCTGATAGCCACTCAGGGTAGATGACTATAACGTATGGTGAAAATTATGAAACAGTCTAATTGGTCCACAACAACGTCCCAATTACCTAGCGTCCAGCCAAAACCTAAGTGGGAGGTACATAGCGGTCTTCCAACTCTCCTTGAAGTTGAGAGGGCTGAAACCTGAGACGAGGTAAGGGAGCAGGAAGTGACGGTTTGTCATCAGACATTTTTAGGGAAGGAGGTATACAACTATTGAGTAGAGTAACGGAGGCACTAGTCAGCGCATGGGAATCGGAGCTATTCCCATCGGCCTGGTTTGCTTCACTGATCATTCCATTCAACAAGAAGGGATACAAGTTTTCTTGTGACAGCCATATGGGAATCAGCTTAGCTTATATTGTGTCCAAGATCCTTGGGTTCATAGCTATCTGACGCCTAACTGAAGCTTGTGAACAACTATTTCGAGAAAAGCAAGTAGGGTGCATCGATAAGATTTTCACCGTTTGACAGGTCCTGGAACACCGGCGTACTGGCGGCCAATATGCCATAATTCTTAACCTGAAGTTGGCATTGAACTCTGTCGACTGTGGGCGTTGTGGCAGTATCTGACTGTGAAGAGAGTACCGAGCAAGTACGTAATTCTAACCAAAGCTCTCTACTCCAAGTTACGCAGCTATGTGAGGGCTTACGGAAAGTTCTCATCTGAATTGATGATAACTAGTGGTGTCCACCAGGGATGCTGACTGTTACCGTTCCAGTTTAATATTTTTATAGGTGCATTAATAGAAATAAACCTAGATACCTCTGACTTCACAGGGATTGGTCTACTTCTTGGAAGTCATCAGGTTGACTTGGAGTACGCAGACGACAGGCGAAGACACTGACAACACAGGGTCTTCTGAACGACTTGAGTATAAACCTGAGTACGTTTGACTAGAATGCGTTTCGGACCTGTCAAATATGAGATTATGCTGCAATACTGGTTTGCAACTAATCCTAGTTTAAGGATAGGGAGTGGAGTGGTAGAGTACGTTAACCACTTCACTTACTTGGGGATTTGTGTCAGCGCTAACTGACTAGGAGCTGAGGAAATCTCAGCTAGGATGTAGAAGGCCCATCTGGCATTTGCCAATCTGTATCATTCGTAACGCCAACTAGCGAGAAATCCAACTATTTATTAAAGGCTGAGTATACTGCACTACAGTTCGCTGTCCTGTTATACGTTTGAGATATGCCCGTTGAAATTAGAAAATGTGAGGAAACTACAGGATTTAGACCATAGTTTTCTTCGTAGCATTGCTTATGCATGTTAGAATCGTCGTGTCAGCAACGTCGAGGTTTGGTGAAGGGCACTAGGCACGATAGCAAGTGGGTCGATGAGTTTGTGAACGTACATCGACTGAAGTCACCTGGAATTTTATTGCAAATACCAAACCATCGCCTACATCAACGTGCAATGCTAAAGTAAGTTAGATTAAGTTGGTAGATGGCTTAAACTGGTTAGGCTTAGTTGTGACACCAGCCCATGAAGTCCCTGACTGTTATGTTGAACCATGTAGAGTGGTGTAGACTACCTGGCTGCAGTCCTCAGGACGACAGGAACCAGTGGTTGGGGGCCAATGGTGAAAGAGCTGAAAATTAGTCATATTTAGGCAGACTTATTTACTCTTTGATATCTCCTAAAATTTGGATGTTTTTACCAGCTTAAATTTTGAATTGTCTCTCCCTTACACTTCTACCCACCTTGATATCAGTATTTTCTGTCCACTTGTTTTCGTATACTACTCTGCAATGTGACAACTTGGACTGATGCACTTGTGTACGAGGTTCTACGTTGATTTTATTTGTCTGTCTATCTACATTACTACAGGAACTAACTTTTTTGAAACATATTTGAACAATGAAAAATCGAGATTACTTTAAAAGTCGAATCGATGTTCTTTTCTGCACTAAAAGTTAATTTTTCCGTTGTAACTGTAGACGAGGATGTATAACATTCTACTGGCTGACTTTTTATTATGAGTTGTAATCACTGATACTTAAACATTGTATGTTTAAGTACATAACAGTGGGCATTCAATCGTTCTTTGATATTTTTCAACTGCCCCAGTCGATTAAATACATAGGATCTAACAAAGCTGAGTAGCGATCTGAGATGCTACACCTCATAGTACTATATACAAATGTAAGGCATGAGGATGAAAGATAAACAAATAAGGAAAACAATTCAAAACGGTAGAAAGCCAGATGATTGCACAGTATTGAAATATAACATGATAATTGAGATGAAGATGCATGGACGAATCTGCATCACTGAGATCTTTCCCAGGTCATAACGCTTAGTTTTTAGCCTACGATTTCGGTTGGTGTGTGGATCCCATGATCACTGCAAATTATCGCACTGGTGACTTCCACTTAGACTGAGTTATTAGCTGACTTTTTGAATGCGAAAATGTAAGGGATTTGGGTAATCTGACCATAAGGTACATATAAATAGACAGCGATTTTCATGTCTACCGTCATGATCTCTGATGGATAACCTACAATATCCAATGAAAATCTTGCACAAGAGTGCAACCTATTGCAATTTCAATCACAAAGATTACGCGGTATTGCATATATACATGGGAACAACACGCTATATATATATATATATATATATATATATATATATATATATATATATAAACGGAAAATACAACTAACAATATCTTTGTCAAATTTGATGGATAAATTAGACAATACAGCCCTCATTCGGCCTGCAATCAACAAGTTATAACAAGATACGAGTACGTGGGGTCGAATTCTCGCACTCTGAGACCCTACCGCTACTAATTTTTCATAAAAATCCACTCACAATTGTTGAAATTAAAACACTATTGCCAGATTATCCCAGTCCAATATTGACAGTGCGAGCGTAGGAAACTGATAGTTTTTGATCTCTCGCGCCTAGTTCTTAGGGCTTGGTTCGAATTGTTCAGCCTACTCCTGCGGTGGACGAGGAAATCCCCTCTACTTTTTTACTTGTATCTTCGGTGAAATGGATGTTTTGTGGAGCGATTGGGGAGCTACGGATTGCTGGGACGGTTATGGGACTGTCGTGACTCCTGTCTTTGTAGGTACCTGAATGAGAATAGTATGGTAGTGGTCAGGAAGAGAAAAAAGATGAAAAAGCATGTGGTTGCCTTAAAGGTGAAAGTAGATAGCGCAGGTCTATTTTCTAGAGAAAAAATTAGTAGGTAATGTGGGTGCATTAAGGAGATAGTGAGTGGTAGGTATAAGGGAGGCGAGGGTGATCTAGTTAGGTGAGTGACCCCCTGAGTACGTCCATGGTAGACCATGCGAAGTGACATAACTGTCTAACCATCTCCTGAATGAGTCAACTGAGGGGGGGGGATGACGATATATCGCGGTAGGGCACTCCGATTCAAATGTTGAAAATTTTCGACACTTGAAGTGAGACAAAAATTCAATGAATTCCAATATTTGCATATACAAGTGTTCAGGCTATCAACATCACAAAATAATAAATCTAATAAAGGTAAAAAACTTGTCACCGAAGTTGCCTGAGTCTAAATAAATGCTTGACCTTCGGTTTAGTTTCCCCGGATATCCAATATCCAATATCTGTTTAAGTAGCTAGTGTAAACCAATCGATTTCTTCGTTCTCACTTCTAAGTCCTGCAGAAGGTTTCCAGGTCTTTGGTGGATTTCGATACAGTAGATCCAGTCACTCGTCTGCTATAACTCTGGTATACCTAACAGGTGTTTAGTTTTCCTAGGATCGCGATACAGTTTCGTTCTTCAGATATCAAGTTGCCAGACACTTGTTTGAACTGATCGTAAGTAGTGGTTAGGGACGGTGGAGAGCTAACCTCGGAAAACCAAATTTGCATGAGCAAAAGCCAAAGAAACACCCAAGTAAGAGGAGAGGACTGCAAATATAGGCAGAACTTGGGTGGGTGATGTTAATTCACAGCGAGTTAGTGGGGTGGAAAGGATTTAAATGGTTAGGGTAGGAAGAAAATCAGTGTAGAAATAAGTGTTAGAATGGTGTGACAGTAGTTGGTTTCTTCGGTCTAGTTCGTATTCCAAGTAGATGTGGTCAAGCCGTGAGTCACTATGTATTTGTCCGGCCTTTTCATGACACTAACGACATTTGGGGCGTGGACCGCCCATCCCGCAATATACTTCCGTGCCCGCACACTCGAAGGGATAAAAACGGTGTCTGAGCACTATTTTGGCCTTTGGTGGGCAATCCCCTTTGGGTTCCAAGAGGATCAACACGGTGACGGGTTACTAAGTATTCTGCGAGCCACTATCGAGTCACCTCGTAATCTTCTACAACTAAGAGAGTATTGGCCTAGGATCCTTTAGTCTATCATCGTATGGTTTGCGCTACATCCCTACAACATCCTTTGTGGCTCACCACTGAACTATCTCCGGGATGTTTGTGCCTCTTTTCAGGTGTGGCAGAGCGAAGACATTAAAAACCTCCAAGTGGGATCTTACGTAGGTCTTGCGGAGTTCTAACAAGAGCTCTGAGGTGAGGGCGCCTGTTTATTCAAGCACAAGGTATAATAGAGCGTATGCTTCTGAGACATCTCCCGGATAACTGGAACTGGTGTCAAGTCTCCTCGTCACCGTTAAACTTACATCATTCTCTGAGGAGATGTGAACCGCACAGGTAGTAGAACACTGGACCAGGAGTGAGGAAAAACAGGGACCAGCATATTTCAGGGTTAAATGTCATTTCGTTGTTTTTCACCCACTTCTCGAATGTTTTAAAGTCGTTCCGTGATTCGTTCGATTCCATTTTGCACGTTACTGCGCAAAAGAGAATCAGAGAGTTGATGTGCGGCGGGCGATCACTCGCGGACAGTGGGGACAACAAAAGACCCAAAATCGCCCCTTGTGACAAGCTGAATGGACCCTGTTGACCTTCGTGCAGAATCCTCTACCGTCTAGGTAATTCTACAGCCACAATAGCCCTCGGCTGTGGATATCTAACCCAGCCATTTCGTGTATTAAGATGGTACGTGAGACTGTGATAAAGGCTTTGGCGAAATCCAGGGTTGAGGCCACAGTATGTTGTTCAGCAATCACGGGCATGACTTATCCTTTGGAAAGCCGTGGTGAGCATCACTAGTTGCTTGGTTTGTGCCTAGGTATTCTCTGAAGCGGTCGTCCATCATGCTTCCCATAACTTTTGACGTTGCTAGTGTAACGGGATAAATGATTAGAAAATCCCTCCCGGGCACTCTTTTGACAGCACTGATATTTCGTTGAATATTTCACCTTCGTTGTCGATATTATTCTTCAAACCTAACTGATGCGATATTATTTTGCAATTCGCCCGTCTTCTTTGACTTAACACTCATTATTTGACTTCGTTTAGATTGGCCCATCAACGACGCTTCACTTTGCTGTTTAGTGATGCTGGATTTTTCAAAACATGGCGTTGTTTCACTGCTCTCGATATGTTCTTTTGGCTCACCTTGAGGTTGCCCTGAGAAGTGATCGTTCGTCTTTCGGCTGTCTACAGGAAACGTTCATTAACTGATTTGGTTCTCATAGACATAATTTTGATCCCATTTTGTTGGGAATATTCTGACTGATTCTCAGGTACTTAACATTTGTAGTTGGTCACTAAATTTTTGCTGTATATTACGTATTTCATGCCAGGGAAAATTTTGAACTATACAGTTGCCTAGCGGCATTGTTTAGGTACTTTTGTTATTCTGGTATAACTTGTTGTTGTTTAACGGTACCATGGATATACCACAATTCGATCGCAAATTCATCGCACCAAATCGTATTGCGATATTGTTGAAACATGATCTTTTACTGTGCGTGACTCTAGGAAGTTCAGGAAACTAGGCAGTAGGGAGCAGTAACCTGCCTGAATCGTGTTAGCTTCGCTCCGTTAAATCATTTTTTGCGTTCAGACCGAAATACTTGCATTTTGGTCGCTACACCTCGTATAAGGGTAGATAACATTTCAGTCTGCCTGTCTCCTCCTTTGACGATATGAGAGAAGATGGCGCGTTTCCACTCCTCCGTGAGCCCTTGTTCAGTTGGGGAGCGTTGAAAAAGGTAGCAGAGTGGCCCGCCTAGGCTACTCGCATACTGCTTCAACATAGATGGGTGGATACCAACTCATCTTGGTGATTTCTCTGCACTTGGCTTTTTTAGCTTATCAAGGACATCGGCGTGAGTAATCGATAGTTCGCGTGACTCTCCTGCGTCGGATAACATAGGGGACTGTTCCGGCTGTGGACGCGCCTGTTTGGGTAATGGAATGCTGAGCTGTATGTCAAAGGTGGTGAATAACATTTCGGCGATCTCCTATCCAGAGAAGTTTTCTCCATTTGGACTCTTGGCGACCCACGCTCCCTGCCTCGTAGACTTTCTCTTCGTCGCGAATCAGCGCGGGTTTTCGGAGTTAACCTCAAGCTTCTGGGCGATTGTGGCCCGGCCTTCCAGCGCCTTGATGTTACATAGGTTTCGCAGAGCCGTATATGCGTTATCATGAGGCCCTTCTCCGGAGGGCCTCCACTTGTGCCATGCCTTCCTCTGGACTCTCAAGAGGCTCCCAATGTCTCATTTTAGCCATTAGGTTCGCTTCCGGGCTTTGTCACCAGCAAGGAGGTGCCTTCTGGTCTCTTACTAGTTCCCGGTACCGGTCAACCTATAGGCAGCCCTAGTCCGCTTGCCATGGGGCTGTTGACGGACACTGATTCATTCAATTATAGTTGGTCTTGCTGTAACAGATGCAAGGGTGTGATCCCTCCGACGATAACCGTTCAATAGCTGCCACATAGAACGCCACCGTGACATGATCACTGCCACCAAGAAGAGTTTATTCGTGGACGCCCCCAACCAATGGATATTCACCAGTCAGCGGGTGACCTAAATTAGGTGGTTCTCTGCTTGACCCCCAACGTGTATTGTTGCCGATCTTTTCATACAGCCCGGCCCCCGGGATGGCATTAAGCAGGTTACGACCAGACCTCTGGTTTGGAAGTGTACTGCCGTGTTCTAGGCCCAGAGCTGAGTCGCTAAAGTCACCAGCTATTGGGATCTGGTCATACCCGATGGTCGACACTGTGAGCATCCCTCGGGATAATTTTTGGCTGTGTCCTACGCTTCTATTGTGGGATCTATAGACCCCTCCAACCAGATACTTAGCTTGTCTGACCGTGAAGTGGCACTAGATCGAGTTTGTGGGCGCTGTCGATTTAGCACCAGTAGTCTGTTCACTTTTGAACCAACTGTTCACGTTTGCTGCAGCCTCTTCTCTGTTTTGGAGTCCTCTATCCCTCCTAAGCAAAAAATGTCACCCGTGTTCACCAGGGTGTCTCTAACTTCCAGTAATAACTACGTTTCCGTTGGGATTATAATTTTCGGAACAAGCTGGGGACAGAGGGATCGAAGATCTAACATTTTACCTTGGAGTCCCCTCACATTGCTGTAAAGATGCTTGGAAGTGCTCCTCACAATGTGAGGTGTCTCCGGGTTAACTGATAGCACAGGTTTGGATGTGGTAGAGGTCTTTACTGACCGGCCACTTTCAGTGGAACAAGCTCAGCTAGTTTTTCCCGGGTTGATTAACGCAGTCGACGCTGGATGGAAGTTGTAGGCCTGGCTCTCAAAGTGTCGATGTCAGATGATGGCTACGTGAGCACGAGGAGTGACTGCTGTTTGCTGTTGTCACATTGCTCTGGGGTTGGTTGCACAAGGGGAGGGAGACTCTAGCCTACTATGCTCTTGACCTTATACCACATCTCCAGCACTGAAGTCAGAACTTCTTGGGATTTGAAGTTGCTGGCCGTTCGTCTAGGTGGGGTCACAGTTTTCAGATGCGGAGAACATGGCAGCCTGCCAGTTGCTGCTGCTACAACCGCACTTAGTCCTGTGCGTGCTTACAACCACCCTCATTATTGGGCGTCATGGGTGTACTTATCTTCTATGGTATCAGTTGTCGGTTCAGGTATTCTGTAGATGGTCACGGTTGTGGGGATCAGCTGCACCTTGAAGTGTCTCCCTGGCCACTCACGACGGGTCAGGTCTAGCTCTAATTCTTCATGATCTTTAGACGACCAAGGTATGAGAAAATATGATGGACCTTTCGGTCTCCCTGGCTGAGCCTGGAGTCACCCTCATCGAACGAGGCTTTCCTGCGGATGAATGGACACCCATGCGTAGGGGGAGGTTCTGTCTTGAGGCGCCTACACCTAAAAGGACACAAACGAAGTCCCGTTTCCACCTGTCAAGAGTGTCCATTTTACCCCAGAAGGCTGTCGTTGCATACAGGAGATTTGAATAGAGTGGTGGGTTTTGACAGGCCAGCAACACCTACTTTATCCGGCTCTATGGGTGCGTTTTCGCGGGTAATTTGAGCTTTGTTTTCCATCCTCACTCATTTATCATACTGTCCACCAGTGGCTGTCACCGTTTTGGCCTCAAGGTCTGGGGTGGATGTGGTTGCCCTTGTTGAAGGAGGCTTTTGGTTAGGTTTCGGATCGCTGGACTGGGGCATTACTGAAGACGTCTTGAAAGTGGGTCTTCCTTATGGGAAGAGTCTGGACGGATACCTGCCTTTTGCTGTTACTG